CAAATTTCTGCATCTCATTGAGGCGGCCCTTCTGTACAGCAGGGGCATCTGGCAGCGGCGCTGTAGGGGGTATTCTGTCAGAAACATTATGCAGAATAGCGGATCGCCTGCATTCTGACTTTTTTGCTGCGCCGAGCTGGCAATCGTTTTCGCACCGTTTTTGCGTCGGAAGCGCTCGCCTGCCTGGCGGCATTTCTCACGATCTTTTCACCACGGCGAAAGCGATGGCAAAAGCTAGCAGCTATCCGCTGATTCAACAACCACAACCGTTCCTAACATTTCTCAACTAAACTACAAAGTATAATTACTTCCAGGGTTTTTCTCGACAAACACCTGGCCCGGTAGATTCTATAGGGCCAACACTTTGGGTGACTCCCATAAGATACGGCGCGCCGCGCGAGCCAATCGATCTAAGCCCCCTTTTACCCTACAGCGTTGGCACACTGATTGGGGAATATCTATATCTATATCTATATCTATACAATATATATACATATATATATATATATATAGATTTCTGACACCAGCAACATAAACGTGAGCCTTGGACCGAGCACATGAAACCAGGCATGTTGGACAAAACGATGGTCATCGCTTTTGAAATCGTTTGCGCTTTCAGATTTACCGGGAGTAGCAACGTACACCCGAGCCCTATAGATAGAGCGCATGACGAACCACATGTTGGTCAGAAAGAATAGACATCGCAGTAGCACGTTTTTCCGATTTGCCAGGAGCATTTTTGAGGCTTGAAACACCTGCTGCGGACTGGCGTTCGTCTGTTCGGTTTAGTCGCCCAGTTTCAGAGCGCAGGCATCATTTGCCAGGAACGCCGAGGAGCTCGGATCTAAATTCTTTGGATGTCTAAAACTCTAGGTGCTTAAGGAGCTCAATCGGAATCCGGCCGTTCGTTGAGGGGCCATGGGGGTGGCCGCCTTTTGACAGACGACGGTCCAAAAGACGCGATGCGGCGACAACACATGACGAAGACACCTGCGCAACGAGCGGGGTGCTACTATTGAGACCTGCACTTCCAAAAACGAGGGCGACGACAGGGTGCATCCACCAAGAGGAGACAAGCAGCGAGGAAGGAGTGCGAGCATCGGGCGCTTTCGGGCGCAGCATCCTCTGCCTGGGCTGGGCCTGCCCGTGGAATTCCCCGGCCGCGGCGGTCCAATCGACGCACCACCTGCCAGAGTCATCCAGGTGCCCAGCTGTCGCCCCAAGAACTTGGAGCTTGCTGTTGGCACCCTTTGGTGTTGAGACACCCTTTTGGTTCAAAACTTGGTTTTCTGTAAAAGTGGTCTTGTGACACCCTTTTGGGTCGAGTTTTTTGGTTTTCTGCCGAAGTGGTGTCTTGAGGACACCCTTTTGGTTCGATCGGGACTAAAGTGTGCCATTTTGGTTCAATTTTTTTTGGTCTTCTGTCAAAGACACCCTTTTGTCTCAATTTTTTCGTTTTTCTGCCGAAGTGGTGTTGAGGACACCCTTTTGGTTCAAAATTCTTGGTCGATCTGGTTCAGGAATTTGGCGTTTTGATTCCACTTCGGGCCCTCTGACCCATTTGCCCCCCCCCCCCCATGTTCAGCACGAATTTGGCGTTCAGCAGGAATTGGCGTTTTGCAGCGAGCCACGAACTCAGAACAAGACGATGTTGATGTAGTTCCGTCCTCAATGCTTGCTCGAACGAAAGCACAGCCTCGCAAAGTGGCTTCATCAGCAAGGGATTGCAAGTGGAAGCCCCCCCCCCCCCCAACCCAAGCCAAAAAGTCAAACCCACGAGGGAAGTGAATAAACGAATTTACTTCGAGGTTTCTGATATGGTTTGCACCCTAAACCCTAAACCCTAAACCCATCTCTCAAGGTTGGTCCAGTGGAGAAAAAATAGTTTATTTCACGTATTCTATGGACTTGATCGCAGAGTCATTAAAACACCGAAAAATCTGTAAAAATCCGGAAACAGGGCAAGGAATTTATTGAGGCCAGCGTGCTCATAATGATGGAATCCTTTGATTTCGATCCTCGCATGAGGGCATGTTCCAAAAACTCTCCTGCTAATCTCGGGTGAGCTGCTCAGTCGCCGCGCCCTTGGGGGCCTCTGGGGCCTCGGGGGCATTTGCGCCCCGAGTGGGATCATACCGACGGCTGCACGAAGGGTAGTGCGGGCTGTATCTCTCTCGTGCAGCGGAACCAACGCTTCCGGAATTATTCGGCACGACTGACATTTCCTGGGGTTGCGAATTGGCGCAAACATGCCTTTCAACAAAACTTAAAGTACAACATCGCAAGCCACACCAAAAAAAGAAACACTGGAGAGAGACGAGATTCCCATCTGCAGGAGTGTTCGTGGCATTCCGGGCACTCATGAAATGGGCCCGGATTCCCCGGTTGCACATTCTCCTCACACTCGTAGGGGGGGACATAATCAGCAGTTGCTGCACCAAAAGAAGCTGCTCCAGCAGCATATGCGTATTGTGCTGGGCGTACCAATCTCACGCTACTGTAGCTTTGCTGCGATGCATGGTCTCCCCATCCTTCAAATCCAAGCCCTGAAGCCAACCCCGTGAGTTTACTTACGGTTCGCTCTTGCATCACTCTCGATGCACGGACTATGGTCCGCATTAGCGGTTCAGGGCTTAGGGTTGAAGCCTGAACCCTAATCCAAAAAACTGTTCTGATTAGGGTGTTGAAATTATAGGGCATGGCCTTGTAGGCAACGCTGAACCCCAAACCCCTAAACCCCTAAACCCCTAAAGCCCTAAACCCCTAAACCCCTAAACCCCTAAACCCCTAAACCCCTAAACCCCTAAACCCCTTAAACCCCTAAACCCCTTAAACCCCTAAACCCTAAACCCTTCACCCAAGTCCATGCTCTCAAAGGACCGCTTAGGGTTTAGGGATTTTAGAGGGCTTGAAGGTTTTGCATTTACAGGGTTTAGGGTTCTGGGGTTCAGGGTGCTTTAGAGCTTTAGGGTTTCATGGTTTTTAGGGTTTTAGGGTTCTGGGGTTTTAGGGTTTCAGGGTTTAGGGTTTCAGGGTTTTAGGGTTCTGGGGTTGTAGGGATTCAGGGCTTTAGGGTTTCAGGGTTTTAGTGTTTTAGGGCTTTAGGGTTTTAGGGTTTGTAGGGCCTAGGGTTTGTAGTTTTACGGTGCAGGCTGTGGTGTAGGATTGAACAAACCTTTCGGGCTCGGGTTAAAGTTCTCACGTTCTTGGCAAAGACCATCCTCGCTGTAGTCCGTGGGCGACGAAAGACACCTAAGCCTAAGCCCTAAAAACCCTCAAAGCCCAAAGAACCCTCAAAGCCCAAAAAAGCCCCAAAAACCCCAAAAAACCCAACAGCCCTGAAAACCCTAAAAACCCTAAACCTTCTTCAACACTCTGAACCTATCCTTGGAAGCCCAGCAACCGGATTGTAATAAGGGCAAGGGTAAAGGGTACCACTGGGCTACCCCTAAACCCTAAACCCTAAACCCTAAACCCTAAACCCTAAACCCTAAACCCTAAACCCTAAACAGCCGGGATGCCCATCTTCGTTGATGCGTGCTACGGGCACACCGCGCACCACCTGGCGAGCGCGATGGTTCAGGGTTTAGGGTTTAGGGTTTATAAGCTTAGGGCTCAGGGTTTAGGGTTTAGACCCCCAAAGGGGCCCATGTAGCCATATAGTAGATAGTTGGGCCGTAGCTTTAGGGCCCAAGTATATACGATATGGGTACCTGGACGCTGTAGGGTCTGGTAAACCCTAAACCTTCAACATAAACCCTAAACCCCAAACCCCAAACCCTAAACCCTAAACCCTAAACCCTAAACCGTGGGTGCAGGGCTGAGGTGCTATAGTACGTGAAAATTACGCCTTGGGCTTGGAGCAAACTAGAGTAACCTAGGAGGGCAAACACAGGTGCCCTTGTTGGTTTTAGGGTTTAGGGTTTAGGGTTTAGGGTTTAGGGTTTAGGGTTTAGGGTTTAAAAAGGAACCTAAGCCCTAAGAAGGGGAAGTAAGGGCCCTACATGGGCCTAGTCTGGGTTGTGGCAGCTTAGGCGACTTCCCAGTCGTAGCTTCTACTACTGCCTTGTGTGGGGTACTAACCCTAAACCCTAAACCCTAAACCCCAAACCCTAAACCCTAAACCCCATACCCTAAACCCTAAACCCTAAAACCTAAACCCTATTTCCAGGGCGCAGTTTGGAAGCAGTTGCTGGAAACGTTTGGCTTCCTGGACCGGGAGTTTCTACCGCTATTCAATACTCAGTACCAGGTCCCCAAACAAAACAAGCCCTAACCCCGAGACCTAAACCCTAAACCCTAAACCCTAAAACCTAAACCCTAAACCCTAAAGCCTAAAGCCTAAAGCCTAAACCCTACGCCCCTTGTAACAAACGAGGGCCGAGGAGTGGGCCGGCATGAGCCGGTTTCAGGATTCAGCCACTAAAAAAAACTTCGGCGCAACTTTCCTCCAAACACTGCCATAAACATCTCTTGTGAAGGGTTGAAAGTTTAGGGTTTAGGTTTTAAGGTTTAGGGTTATAGGGGTCAAAGCAAGAAACCCAACCCATTAAGCCCTGTGCAAGCCTTGAAGCCCTTAGCCCCCCAAAACAGCTCTCGGAACAAGATCCCTGAACCCTAAACCCTAAACCCTAAACCCTTAACCAGGAGAGATCTTGAAGCTAACCTCTGCCAAAGCCTTCCGAGCACGACCCGACAAGACGCAAACTACTCGGGCGCGGCTCGTTCCGGCTCGGTTGTCGGGGCTATCGAGTCTTCGATGATACCCTCCCCGGTTTCGGGTTTAGGGTTTAGGGTTTAGGGTTTAGGGTTTAGGGTTTAGGGAAACCCCCCTACCCCCTGACATGAAGTACCCCCTCCATACAACTACAATGGGGGGGGGTATTTAGTATTAGGGGGTAGGGAGGGTTCAATACTAGCGGAAGGG